TAGCTATAGCACAATTTCTGCATAAAATTTGAATCACTAAATTTAAAACATTTTTAAATTTTTATAAATTTATATTTTAAAATTTCATTTCGTTCATTTTATGAATTTTTATGTTTACAAAAACTCCATGAAATTTTATGGCTATATATGCAGTAGATTTTATGCAAAGTGTACCTAAAGGTAAGAACATGCTTGAAAATAAAAAAGATAGTTATTGATTAGTTATTGCTCTTACAGATTTATTTGTAATTTAAAATGAAATTTTTTACATTAACAAGTACATAAATATGCAGATAATTCAACGTAAAAATTTTACTTCCGCTGTGCTTTTAATTTAAGTAAGTGAAGACCATTTAAATTTGGTGCAAAAATAGTTCATTTTTCCTTACTTCCAGACGTCCCAGTTAACACATTTGAATTTCTTAAACAAAAACAAATTAAAGTGATAGAACATCCACTTTATTCTCTGGATCTAGCTATATGTGACTTTTGGTTATTTTTTAATCTAAAAAAGAACTTACGAAGACGTTGTTTTCATTCAAAAGAAGAGATTGATACTATAAATGCAATTTTTTCATCAATTCCAAGAAATGAATGGTTTGAGGCATTTAACCAGTGGAAAATTCGTATACAAAAGTACTGGAGGAAACTGTAAGTATAACTTTAAAAACCTAGGAATATCTCAAAAATTTCAGAGTGACCCTCGTACCACCCAAACATATCTGTCACTTGTACAGTAGCGGTACTCAGCAAAACCAATTTAGATCCGTATCGTTTGTCGCAGCAAATGTTTTTACTTTAGTCTGATTAAGATTATTTTTCTTTGGAATAAATGTCTGAGCATATACCAGGGTTAAAATTTGCTGCCCTCTGCAGTACCTGATTTTTAGAAACTGCTGCAGGTCTATTATAATCAGAATGTTCCGTAAAATTTAAATGGATGTGATGTTTCTTTTTGCAAACTCCACAGTGTAGCTTAAACCTTTGTGTACATCAGTTCTTTATTTTACCAACAATTTTTTTTTTTAATTCGGGTGCACTGATTCAGATAATGAGTCATTTTTGCACATAACGTTTTTCGGAGCCTTAACCTTGGACACAAAGGTTTTAGAAACATAATTTGATTCATAAAACATATTACCTTATTTGCTCCGTTCCCTGTCCCACGAAAATACGACACAGGCTCAGTTTTGCCATTCCTACAGAATGATTCGTAAATATCGATACACCGACATTTTGTGGGTTGTACCACTTTTCTGCCCGTTTGACTCTTACATGCAACTGTAATTCCTTATCCAATGTGTGCTAAATAATTTATCGGAAACCACTAACTCATATAGACTTTAAAAGTCTCTGACCTCCCGCAATTAATAATAATAGTCAAAAGTTGCATTTAATCGCGATGCAAATTGAACATATGATTCACCTCGAAATTTTTTGAGTTTTGCGAAAGTCATTTCAAACGTCTTGGGGCGAACTCTGAAACTCTTTTAATACTGCTTCCTTCACCTTTGTTGTTTTTTGTTGTCACCAACCTCCAATTGTTTTTCCAATTATGCCAAATCCTCCGCGGTCATATGAACTATCAAATTGGTAGCTTTTTAACCCGAAATATTCAACAAAATCTCAGCCTGCTGAACACTTTTTATTTAAAAGGCCTTTCAAGAAATTGAAAATAAAAACTATACGATTCGGATCGTGACGATAGCGGCATAGAGTTTTTACACTTTTTAGTAAATATTCTAAATTATTCGTTCTATTTAAGTCGTAATTATCATTAACCTTTTCATTTGATTTAGAAAGTGAATCTGATTTGATTTTTTAACCTCCAATTGTTTTTCCAATTGTGCCAATCTGACACGCTCCCATTCCAGGTCGCTTTTACCTTCTAACCGTTTAGTTTTCATTTCAAAAAGTCCTCTTTCCTCTCTTTCTTTAGTATCATGTTTAACCATTTCGACAATACTTTAAAATTCCTATTTTTATAAACGTCCCTATTTTCAATGGCTTTTTTTCAGCACCAATACTCGCATGGTGATGGTACTTCCACATCAATCTCATCAGCAATTTGTGCACACTTCCCTTCAAACCCGATAAATACATATTTACATTAGACTATATAATTAAACAACCAAAAAAATTACACTTGAAATTACATAGCTCACGGACACCCACAGAACAATAAATACTGCTAGAAGCTAAGCAAATGGGCCGCTGTGTAGCCTAGTGGTCAAAATATCGGATCGTAGCTGGGACGTGTCATAAGTTCGATCCCAGCCCCACTAAAGACCCGCCGTGAAGGAGTGTGATGCACATTAAATCTATCGAAAGCTCAAACGTCCTCCCGTTGGTGTGGTGTGGTAGTCAGGAGAGGCAGTGCCAGCTCGGGTGTCGTCCTCGTCACTTGACCAGGGTTCAAGATGACGAGGTCCGTCGCCAAAAGCCCTCGTGTTGCTGAACAGTGCGACTTTAGTATTCCCTCACTCACCCAAGCTAAACAAAAAAGGCTGATCACTTTCATTGAACTTTGCTGTAAGATGCAGTGGACACACAAATTCTTTATAACATCATTCTTTTTCTTTTGGACTGTATTCTTCAAACACGCGACATAGTAATATCTCGGTTGATTACTTATGTAGAGGAGTAAATTCTACATATCATTCAATGGATAACCCAGCATAAGCCAAGATTATCGTATTATTTATTTATTAATGCAAGTTAAACATCAACAGCAAGAAACCGAATTACAATAATCAACCCAATAATATAAGCATCCAATTGATATTAAACATCAATCCACTTCAGTTCTCTTCAGGTTTACTTGTGATTACACAATATCATTTAATAATCTACTGCATATAAATAGCTGAGATTAATCAGTGAAACTTTTTTCATACAAAATGTTCTTCCTTTCTAGAATATACTTGAAAACCTTAGATGCAGCTAAGAATTTTAGTTGCTTTTAATAACTCTCGAAACGCATCAAAACAGTATGAATAATGAAAGTTTAAAGTATTTTGTGTTCATTTTTAATTTTGTTCCTTTTAAAAGACAATAAAAATCTATTTTTGTTCAATTTATATCAATATGTTATTTGTGCAATATATACTTAAGTTGATAAATAAGTTCAACTCTTCTGCGCAGCTTTGTACAAAAAGAGTTTGATAATAATTGTTTATTTTTCATTGATAAATATGTTTCAGGTACCACATGGAGTGCGAACTTGCAAGCAGTTATCATAACATGAGTCTTAAGTCACAGACAACTTTAAACACTAACAGAGACTCAATGACTATTAAGCAAAAGGCTTACTTGGACTTTTCCCACATCCATAACAAAACTGTGGCTTATAATACTTTGGACTATTGGATAACCTACGGCCAATGCAAAGAATCAGAGTTCAAACATACTTTTGATTCCGAAGCTCTCGATGTGTCGACTAATGTCACTTATAAATGTAATTCTGATAGAAAAGACATGCACACCTTATTACTTCATTCTTTAGTCAATTCAACGTACTGGGATATGCTGAATCTGGAAGTAAATCGTAAGTAGAGTTTATTTTATACTTCATTATTAGAGATGTATCTTTTATTTCTGTATTACACTGACAAAAAAAAAAACCCAAGAAAGACTTGTATTATATAAAAGAAATTTGGTAGGCGTGTTTATACGTCTGAAAGTTGACATCGATTCAAATTTCGAGCTTAAGTGGGGCGCCAGTCAGAACTTTCACAAATCAGGGTTGCTTTAAATGTGTGCTATAAAGTTCGTGGGAGTTATTTGTCTGTTAAATTTGATGTTAGCCAAGAATGTCTTTTAAGAACACGAAGAAACCGTTATCAACAGCTCACCGAGTTTGAGCGAGGTCGTGTAAGAGGGATACGAGAAGATGGATTTTCTTTCCATGATATTGCAGAAAGACTTGGCTGGAATGTATCCACTGTGCCTGATTGTTGGGAGCATTGGTTAAGGGATGGTACTGCCTCAAGAAGACCGGGTTCCAAGCGGCCACTTAGCTCTACTGTGAGGAAAGACTGTTGTATTCGGCGTTCGGCTGTGGCGCATAGTACTGCGTCTGCGATAAAAATTAGTATTGTAGTGTGTACCCTGTAGTGTGTATTCCGCTGACTCCAATCCATTACCATTCGCGACGCCAGTGGTGTCAAGCCCAAACTCTTTGGAGGACAAAGTGGAGATCTGTTGTGTTTTATGATGAAAGCAAGTTCTGCATTGCTGCCCATGATGGCTGTGTGTTGGTCAGAAGGAGGCCAAAGGAACACCTGCAACTAAACTGCCTGCGGCCTTAGACACACTGTATCTACACTTGGAATCATGGTCTGGGGAGCGATATCCTATGACAGCAGGAGCACTCTCGTGGTTATCCCAAACACACTGGCTGCAAATTTGTACGTCAGACTGGTAATTCAACCTATAGTACTGCAATTCATCAACAGCATTCAAGGGGGAGTTTTTCAACAGGATAACTCTCTTCCACACGCCGCTGTTGTAATGCAATGTGCTCTACGGAGTGTTGACATGTTACCTTGGTTTGCGAGACCACCAGATCAGTCTCGAATCGTATGGGATATCATTGGATGACAACTCCAGCATCATCCACAGCCAGCACTGACCGTCCCAAAACACAACAAGTACAACAGGCATGGAACTCCATACCACAAAGTGACATTCGGCACTTATATGACACAATGCTTGCAGGCTTGCATTCAAAATTCTGGAGTTTACACCGGCTTTTAATGTAACAGCATTTCACATTTGAAATACATTTTCTTGAGCTTAAATTAACCTGTGATCCTCAAGATTTAATCAATTAAACATGCTAACTAAATAATTGCATTATTCAGATTTCATTACTCTGAAAGAATTTTTTCTTCATGTTGGGATTTTTTTTCCCACCAGTGTAGTTTAATATATTACTAAAAGGTTATTTCGGATATTCCCTTCTCTATTGTAAACCATTCTGCCGAATCCACTTGTTTGCATGTTGAAAACACCGGTGCTCGTCCGATCACCGAAATTAAGCATCATCGATCGCGATCAGTACTTGGGAGGGTGATCACATGGGAACACATCAATTCTATTGCATGGCAATTTTTACCCACGGCGCAATATTACGAGTATCCTAGTAAACAAATTACTTTACCCTCTCATTGCAAATTCGATGAAAAAAATTAAGGGAACATAATTAGCTATTATTGCATAAATTTTAATTTACAATAAAAAATAATTCTAAATAGCGAAATCACCATAGTTTTCACAGGGCGAGGGAAACAGTAAAAAGAGGACGTAACCGAAAAGTTTATTTTCACTTCCTGAGGCGCGGACCACCCAAGAGGAGATTATGTAAAAAGCAATATCCTTTTGCTCAAATGTTATTCCTTCTAATCCATACTTTTTAGTGGGAATCAAGCTAATATGAATAGCTTTCCGACTAAGAATAGCAATGCTATTTTTTTCGTTTTTCTTTCTAACATTTAACATTTTAAATAATATTTCTCTTCTTAATATATTTCTATGAAAATATGATTTCAGTTTAAGTATTTGGTTCTACATCATTGAGTTCTGATCATCAAGACTTAAGATTTTTAATGAGACCGACATCAGTTAAATTCTCATTTGGATAATCAGTCTTACACCTAAGAGATTTTGTATTTAAGACATTATTGATACACTTCTTCGGAAAAAGTACTTTCACACACACACAAAAATAATTCAATCCTCTCGAAATTTATCATGGAAATATATTTTTATCACGTGTATAAAGTGATTAAATTTTCCAAGATCAATGAAAGTTAACTTTAGTACTAGAGCGTGCTTCTGCTGTTTAATTAGTACTGTATAAAACAGGTAACAAATGCGGGGTAAAAAGAATTAGCTTCCAGGAGATCTGATTGATCAATGGAGTGCTGCTGGCATGAAGGAATTAGTGGTTTCCCCCTTTTGGAGGCTGGAAAACGATAGAATTGCGGAAGAAACAAAATGTCGGAAGGATTCTCTATCGCGTGTATTTGTAAATTGTATATTTGTAAATTGTATTTGTGTATTTGCAAAAAAGATAGTTGTTCCACTTAACAGAAATCGTGTTTTCAGTTAGAACGACATAGGATCGTAACAGAGAGTTTTCTTTTGGCTCGAAGAAGGCATTGCATTTCCATGGAAACATAACCAAAAATATTGTTACGACGTCATACCACCAATTTTGAAACATCGATAGTGGTCGAATAGTCCGAATGGGAGAAGATGCAAGTACCTAGTGTTACCAAGCAAGTATACTGGCAGCAATGTGTGTGGTTGCTACAAGGAACTTATTGGCGGAATGAAGGATTCGGAAACCCAAGTGCATGAATGCTGGGAAAAATAGGATAAGTGTGCTACAAGCCTGAACTGCCAAAATTGCATCATTGTCTTCTGTCTATTGTGCTACAGCATCTTCCGTATCACCCATGATACTTTCCATTCTCACAACGCTTGTCTGAGCGCACTCCCAACGACCTTTTAGAAGCCTGCCTTTAAGCCCAGAATATCGGTAGAGTCAACCAGAGTGATGTCGTAACGGATCCTCATGGCCGTTAGCTGACTAACATCGACAGTATTCAGCAATTAATTCCGTTTCAGTGTTAGAAATGATGACAGTCGGATACGTGAGGGGAGGTTTCACACGTCCCTCATATCTTTGGACAACCCCATGCTCTGTTGATACTGTTCCCAGGCTAGCAAGGTCGCCACATCTTACATCAATCGAGCATGAATATGGGAGACCGTAAGATTTGGGCACCTGAAATATTGCAGATCTGGAAGAAAAATTGAGAAATGCTTGTCAGAATGTGTTGTATGATGATATTAGGAATCTATTTCACTTCTTTCAGGGTAATATACAAGTATGTATCACCTCTGGGGGTTCACAAGTTACTGATTTTAACATTCTTCGCCCAAATGCTAGCTAATGATGGACTGATAGTTTTAAATTTCTTATAATATCGCTTATATACAGGGTGTCCAGCCTTAACTTGACCCAATAGCTAATTCCCTAACCGTTCTGTTTAGATATGCACTTCCAATTTCAAAAATGTTTTAAAACAGGTAAAGAATGTTTTTACGTGCTTTTCGAACCAAAAAAAAACCCATTTAGAAAAAATTACAAAATTTAATTTCTTATACGGTCCCCAGGTCCTATCACTTACATTTGGGAAAATATGCAGTACAAAAAAACAAAGTAAACACAAAAAGTTTCATTTTATTACGATAAAAACTGGCCGAGTTATGGAACTTTAAAAAACATATATTTTATCCATTTTCTACGCCATTTTAAAGAAGCTAGTAAGGGGCCGTCTCCAAAGTGAAATGAGTTTGAACTCTACCAGGAAGCTTTCGCTCTTGCACGTCACTTTTATGTAAATCGTTTTTAAATTTAAAAGCATACGTTAATAATGCAATATAATTGAGTACTTAAATAAAATTGATTCTGTGTACGGGGGGTGTAAAACATAGAAAAAATAAAATGTTTTGGAGGAAGAAAACATTTCAAAAGCAGTTCCAAAAAATAGACTTATATGCTGTGGTTTCATTCTGATTTGCTGCGTTTTTGCTGATCATGACGAACGTTAAAAATCTGTTGTGTAGTTTCTTGCAATTGCATACAATCGTATTCTAATATTACGAAGTCTAGTACGGGAGAACGAGATGTATACACATGAAGAATACTGCGAAATGGTACTGTTTTATGGGCAGTGTAATCGAAATAAGAGAGAGACGGCAAGTCTTTATGCCATTAAATTTCGCACTCGAAGACATCCATCTTATTGTACAATTGCCCGTGTTGTTCAACGCTTGTATAAAACTGGGAGTTGTCACAGACGTATTCCCTTGTCTCGTGCCTTCACCGTTATTTAAGTTAATTTGGTCATTCTGATATAATAAACCCCTAATTCATGATTGGCGCATCATTCCACATTATGCTATATTTTGAACGGCAAATCCTGTATTATTTTGCTACTATTTGTTAAAACAAGCTGTTTTAATCTTTTCGGTACAAGTTGTATTTCTTTAATTTAACTTTTATTGTGTGCCATACAGCAATACAAATTGTCAATTTATTATGTTTACTACGATGTTTCAATATTACTATGATGTTTTTCTTTTGCTCTTTCTGTAGATAGTGAATTATTGTTCTCTAAACCCAATTTATATACGACTCCCTTTTCTGAGCAATTTAGATGCTTCAATTTTATGCAGGCATAACTCGGTCAGTTTTTATTGTAATAAAAGGAAACTTTTTGTGTTTACTTTGTTTTTGTGTCTGCATCTTTTCCTATATATAAGTGATATGACCTGGAGACCGTATAAAAATTTAGTTTTTGTAATTTTTTTTCGTTCGGAAAGCACGTAAAAACATTCTTTACCATTTTTTAAACATTTTTCAAATTGGAAGTATATATCTAAACCGAACGGTTCGGGAATTAGCTATTGGGTCACATTAAGGCTGGACACCCTGTATATATGCACCCTACATGATTAATTTTTTAGAAAAAATAGTTGCTTTGTTATAAAGCTCTGTTTTTCTTTCAAAAGAGTATATAAATGGATTATATGAGCATTAATTTCTTCTAACTTTTCCAGAAATTGTTGAAGACATCAGTCCTGAATATAAGTATGAATCGTGCAATTTTACTCATCCCTTACTGCTGATAAATGTGACAGCTGATTGGATAAGAAATGTGGGAGATCATAAGAAAAAGGTTCTTTTTACATGCACTGTAAGTGTTACGAGAATTTAATTGAGTACTTATAAGAGAAAATTTCTGTATAAGATGCCATATTTCTGTAGATGAGTTAGTCGCGAATAATATATGGAACAAATAAAAATATTTTTTAGAATTGATTCATCTCTTTAAAATGATTAAAAATAACAGAAGAAAACTATTTTCGATCGCAACCTTTTTATTCGTGATCTTACATCCGCCGCAATATTGACAACTCTCTTGTTGCCAGATCAGGAGAACTAAAGTTACAAAAACAAAGATAATATATAAATAGAGATGCAACATTACTCCTTCCCCAGTAACATAGTTACGATACAATATGCAATAAAAGTAGTAAAATTTTAAATTGACAAGCAATACATACAAATAAGGTAAAAATACAACAAATGAAAATCATACAAAATAATATGCAACTAATTTCTGTAACGGACTGGAAACGTTATGTGTCTACCAGAGCGTGTAGTTGTCTTTTGGACACCTTTTTCCAGCAAATCTTGTGGCTGTTTTTCAATTTTTGTTTGCACAATCAGTTTTTTGTCGGGCAGGGTTGGTGCATGTGCTGATTGTTTGAGATGATCAGGATTATCACCATCAGTTAACAACAAATATGCAGGTTTTAATCTGTCTACAGATATATTGATGTCCTCGCCTTTAATTGTCACAGTAAAATATTTGTCGTATCTTTTTGCCACTGGGAACGGTCTATCGTAAGGAGGTTCAAGTGGTTTTTTTACTCTGTCGACATGTGTGAACACGTGTGTACTGGTATGCAAATCTTTATCGACAAAGGGTTTTTGAGAAGGTTGTCGGCGAGTTTTCAGTGGTTGTAACTGATCCATTTGTTTCTGTAATTCTTCCACAAACGTATCTGTGTCCAAGATGTTTTTCGGTTTCTCGAAAAATTCTCCTGGTAATCGGATAGTTTGTCCGTAAACCATTTGTACAATGGTGTAATTTGTGTCACCACGTAGAGCCGATCTTAATCCTAACAATGCCGTTGGTAAAGTCTGTGTCCATTTAACTGAGTTATATGCTCTGATGGCTGCTTTTAAAGTGCGATGGATTCTTCCATTACATTGTGGATGATAGGCTGTTGTTGTGTTTACTTTAAATCCACAAACAACACCTATGTTTTTAAAGAGCTCAGATCTAAATTGAGTACCTTGATCTGTTATCACACGGTATGGCATTCCAAAGCGACAAATCCACAGTGATTATAAAATTCTCGAGAAACCGTTTCTGCCGTGATATTTGATAAAGGAATAACCTCTATCCAACATGTGAAGCGGTCAATACAAGTAAGGCAGTTT